TATAATTTATTCAAGATCATGGAAAAACATAAAAGCTTTGCAACAATTGATTGTAGTCATTTTTGGTGAAAACACGGATACGTTTAAGGTACAAGATACAAAATCACATAATTGTTTTAAACACCTTGAGATTCATCTCAAGTTGTGTAAACAATTTTTTTTTTTTTTTTTTTTGGACTTACATATATCTATCCGCACCTGTCAATTATGATTGACAATCAGCAGATGTGCTGGCGTAGTAATGAGAGAAAAAAAAATAATAATAATAATAATAAATAAATAAAAAGGCTTGATAGGCATGAGGAATAGCAATACCCAGCGGTATCCCTTCCATGGCTTTTATTTATTAAAACATTATTTCAGCAGATCCCTCATCCAGACCCTTTTCAGTCGTCTTCTGGAGTTCTCGGGCATACTAATTGTGGCCATTTCTTTTACCAGCTGGTTGGAGTGCCCGTTCAACATGTTATGAAATCGTTTGTAGTACGTTCGTTTGTGTTCGTTAACTGTCGGAACGTGCAAGTCGGTGTGTAAAGTGTGGTTGTTTACGTACCATGGTGCTTGAGTGATTAGTCGTAGTATCTTCGACTGAAAAGTTTGAAGTTTTTTTATGTGAGTTGCTTTTGCAATTCCGTATATTTGTAGTCCGTAAGTCCAAAGAGGTTTTAAAAGATATGTGTAAATACTTAGTTTCTGTCTTGCTTTTAATTTGGAATGTCGTCTTAACAGTGAATGTAACAATTTTAGTCTTAGATTTAATGTGATTCGTTTTTTCTTCACATGTGGACCCCATGTCATTCTCCTATCGAACGTAAGGCCTAAGTATTGTACTCTGTCTGTTTGTGGAATTGGTACATTGTCTAAGTATACAGGAGGGCATGTTTCTGGTCTTAGAGTAAATGTGATGTGCTGTGACTTTTGATAATTTATTTGAGTTTTCCAAAGTTTACACCAATCGAGTATAATCTGTAAGTGATGTTGTAAGTTAAGTGATGCTTCTGTAGGATTGTCGTGCCTGGTAATGATAGCAGTGTCGTCTGCGTAGGTTGCTGTAAGAGTGTGGATACTTTGAGGAATGTACTGTATATGTGATGTACAGTAGTGGGGCAAGGATTGATCCCTGAGGTACGCCAGCTAAAACTGATCGAATTGAGGATAGACCTTGACCATGTCGAACGGAGAAAAATCTATCTGAGAGAAAGGAATGGAGAATTAAGTAGTAAGTATGTGGAAGTATGGTCTTAAGCTTGAAGAGAAGCCCCTGATGCCATACTTTGTCAAACGCTTGGGCGACATCCAGAAATACTCCGGTTGCATATAGTTTTCGCTCTAGTGCTGTCGATATGTAGTCAGTTACCCTGTGTAATTGTTGTGTTGTTGAATGTAATTTTCGAAACCCGAATTGATGGTCAGGAATAATCTGTCTGTCTGTTAGTATATGTAATAGTCGTGGGTACAACAGTTTTTCGAATAACTTAGAACATACTGGAAGTAAACTAATCGGTCGATATGAAGAAGGGTTGTTAGTGTCTTTGTCTGGCTTTTTAATCATGGTTATGTGTGAGTATTTCCATTGTATGAGAAATTTGGTGGTCCTGAGAATGCAATTGAAGATTGTGGTAAGAAACACTAGAGCTTTCCTTGGCATTTGCTGGAGCGCCTCAGCAGTTATCAAGTCATGACCAGGGGTTTTTCTTTTGGGCAATTGTCTAATTTCTTGTGCAACTTGTGATGGTGTGAAAGGAGGTGGTGGTAGTGTGAGCTGTAACGGTATGTCTAAGTTATTATGTACAAAAATATCGTGTTCTGTATTAATTAAGTCTGTATGTGGTTTGAAAACAGTGGAAAGGTGGTTAGCAAAGAGTTCAGATCTTTCCTCGTCCGAAACAGCCCAAGAACCATCCTCTCTTCGTAGGGGTGCTGACACCTCACGATGCTTTAAAAGATTCCTTGTATGTCTCCATAAACTTCCATCGTCCGTCGAAAGGTTGTTAATAAAATTGTCGTAGTTTGTGCTTTTGAATTTTTGAATATGTCTTTTGAGTTCGTTGTTCAATCTGTTAAAAGTTTGTCTGTCTGAAGGAAGTCTATTAGTCTGCCATACTTTACGTGCTTTTCTCTTTGCTCTGATCAAGTCCCTTATGTACATAGGATAATGGGGCAAGTTCGCTGCTTTTTGTGGCCTGGATGTTGATGAGGCCCATGCTGCATCTTGTATGCTTTTTGTGAATTTTTCAACAGCTTCTTCTAATTCCTCATGATTTTTAATTGAACCTGGAACAGAAAGATTGGTGTTCAAATGGTCTCTATATGCGTCCCAGTCCATGCAGCCTTTTATGAGCCTAGGTCTTTTTTGTGCTTCGGAAGGCGCGTCGAAGAGAACCATGTGCACTGAGGAGTGATCAGAACAAAGAACAGAGCTTGTATTGACGGCAAATGGTACGGTTCTTAGTCCTTTTGTTATAAAGAAATCAAGTAAGTCAGGAGTTTTGCGTCTGGAGGTGGGCCAATAAGTTGGTGAATTTGGAGTTACAGTGTCTAATGAAAGTTCATGGAGAACAGACCAGAGATTTCTGCCTCTTGGAGTAGACAACCTTGAACCCCAGCCTTGATGCTTAGCATTATAGTCTCCACCTGCGATGAAGCATCTTCCGAGGCGTTTGAAGAACTCAGAAAACATCGTGGGTGTAAGCTTGTACCTAGGGGGACAGTAAACTGAGGCAAATGTTATAGTGTAGTGTTTAGTGTATAGTGTTATTCCTGTCGATTGGATTTCGGGTGTAATGGGTAAGTCTACGGGATTGTGTTTCAGTGAATTTTTAACGAGTATAGCTGTTCCTCCATGTGCGGTTTTATCTGGGTGATCAGTTCTATAAACTGTGTAATCCTGAATGTAAATTTTTGATCGAGATGTCAGGTGTGTTTCTGTAATGAGTGCTACGTCAATCCGTTTTTCGTGCAAGTATAAGTCGAGTTCAGTACTGTGCTGTTTCAGTCCGTTGGCATTCCATAGAAGAACTGACAAGGAGCCTACAGTTAAATTATTGTGGGCCATAATTTGGGCACCAGACCTGTGTAACCTGTGACAGTTGTTGAAGAAGAATGAAAAGGGGCTGGATTAGGTTATTTAATCCATTAATTATATTAAATAATTGGGAAGAGCCATTATCTACCGGAGGTATCGGTTGGGTAATGCCTCTCCTCGTACCTGTACATGTTGTCTGGTTCGGGGGTGCTGAACTAGATGATGTTTGATTTTGTTGTTGCGGAGGTCCTGCGATGATCTGTGGTTCCCCTGGGTTGTGACGCTGCCGCATTGGTGGGAATTCATGCATGCCTGGAGGTCCCTGCGCTGGCTCTGCTACTGTGGAACGCTGAAGACGATTTCTTGCATTGCGCTGAACCCTGAGGTCTTTCAGCGTCTGGCAACCTCTGTAATTAGCGGGGTGCTGACCGGCACAGTTGGCGCATTTCGCGGGAGTGTCTCTGGTTTTCAAACATGAGCTGGTTTCATGATATTCACCACACTTTACGCATCGTGGTCGATGGTTGCAATAAGTTTTAGTGTGCCCATATTGCTGGCACCGAACACACTGAGGAATATTTCTCTTTTGACGCGGTTCCTCAATTTTAATATGTGAATAATATAGAAATTCAACATTAAAAATTTCTTCTCTAAATGTCTCTTTTGTAATGTCCACAAAGAACATAGGAAGGGGTTTTTTAAATCGAGATATGACGTTAACTACATTGGTGGCTTCGTAACCCAATTTTTTAAATTCTTCTTTAATGATATCGACTGGTGTTCCATGGTGAAGATGTTTAACAACAATCCTTGGACATTTGTCCTGTGGAAGTTGGTAAGTATGGAAGTCGGCACCTTTATTTCGCAGGCTAGAATTTAATTTTCGATAAACGTCAGGATTTTCTGGGTACACAGTGACACCTTTCAATGTAGACTTCGTTTTAAACATATTAGGACCCGTTTCGTTTTCTAGAAATGAGATTAATGCATGGTAATTCTCAACACCGTTTATAAAAATTGGTGGAGTTTTATCGTTTTGAGGCGTTCTTCTAACTTTTTCTGTTTGTAAATTAGTTATGTTGGTTAGAACCTGAAAACTGTTCGAGGTTGGGATAGATTCTGTCGGTCGTTTTTGAGCTCTTGGCTCGCTCGAATCTATCATAGGTCTTTTACGACCAATAACCAGTTCCCAGGAGCCGTCTTCATTGTTTATATCACTGTTTTTAAAGTTCATGTTACTCACCTCAGTTTGAGATGATTCCACCATTGTTGGCGGTGAAATCCGCTCAATTTTTGTTTGGTGTTTTGTCCTTAGCAATCTTGTCTTGATAAAACACTTTTATTACACAAAAATTAAGTATGTACACTTAATTAACACATTTTTTGGAAGACAAAACTAAATTAACCTTTCACCTTATTTAACATCAACAGCTGTTCCCTGTGTAAACAATTACTTTTCGTTAATAAACCTCCACTAAATTAATATGTACTTAAAGCTAATTAAATGTGGAAGTTGTTTTAAAATGGGGTATCTGTAGTATAATTGGATGATCATAAAATAAAAAAAATCGCGAATAATTCATGATTTTGTTTAAATAGAATTTAGCTTAGTTTAGCCACTCAAAAGTCCTCTTTAAATGGTTTAACGATGACAAACTCTAATTTCAATTGGAGTGAAATTTGTCCGGTTTACAGTGAAGAAATTGTTATTTACTCCAATTAATTATTTATTTATTTATCGCTTTCTATTCAACAAAAAGCATGAATTGTTTAAAAAACCCAAAACTTGGATTTCCTACTTTTCTGCTGAAAATTGGCCATTATTTATATGACCTTTTTTATAGTTCATGAGTTCTACTATCACTCCTATAAGAACTTCTCTCTACTTACGGGACACCCTTTATAATTTTAATTTGAGCTTCAGTATTTTGATTATTATATTAACTTTCGTAAATATAATTATTAATAAAGGATTTCTTAAATTAGTCTATATGATTTATTGTAGTTATTATAGAGAGTGGATGTGGAGGTTCTCGTTATTCAGGATTATTTTCTTTCTCTGTAATTAGAAAAATAAAACCTGTTTTGTTCGAGTCTTCAACATCCGCCTTCATAAATTATTAAAGGATTTGTGACCTGCAGTTTATATATTTATTAACGCAATAAGTTGCATTTATTTCAAAGCTACAATGTATTTAAAGACTAAAATACATCAATACAATCATAAATTTTACAAAAAAAAAAAATATTTATATAGGCCTACCTATAAACTAAAATATATTTATAAAAACGAAATTTAAAATATATTAAAAAAATATAAATTAAAAAAAATATATATATATTTATCGGCATATTACTTTTAGGTATGGGCAGAGAAAAAAAAACGCACAGGATTTATTAATGAATAGTAAAAGCATGTAATAGTAGTGTAGGTTGTGTGACATTTTAAATTTAATGTTGCTTATTAACGATATATAAAATTAAGCTGCATCTCTGAAAAAAAGTCCAGGAACCATACCAAGATTGATGGTTCAATTTCCTAACAACTGTCCTATAATGGCAATCAATATGTCATCTAGCGGACAGATTGGGTATGAATAATGAAAACAGAATCGGTATGACATTCAGCTGATGAGAAAAGTTTCCGGTGAAAAGCATATTGTAATCATCAGCAATAAAAATTCTATCAGAAAGGGGTTTGAAGATATATTTATGTTAATTATTCAATTCATTTTTTTCAAAATGTATCGTGAATTCGAAAGCAGTTAATATTATAACGTAAATGAATTAGTAAACGACATATACTACTTAACTAATTAATTTTCTAAATTTGCTTCTTGAAATTTGAATCAATTTATTCGTTTACATATCGTTGCTTTGTTTGGAAAGGTTCTAACTAAAAATTTGAGAAAATTTAATTTCAAAGATATCTATGTTCCAAACAAATTTCAGGGCCTACAGTTAAAAAGAAAAAAAAAAAAACTAGTAACATGACATGGTTTTGACTACACACAACTTTTTGAAGTAATTGGTTTGGGAAGGTTAATGAGAGTTGAACTTGAAATAATACCATTTATATTGTTAGTTAAGATCTATTCTTTGTATATAATATATTTGAATATTTTATTTCAGAAATTACATTAATAGTATTTTCATAATTTTTAGAAAAACCGAAAAAAATATATTATCCTAAAATTCTAGAGGATAAAAAAACTATAAAAATTTACAGTGTAAACAAACAAATTTTGCATTATTTATGTTGGTTTTAGCAATGCATATATCATTAAATGATCAAAATTTTTTATTTTTTTAAATTTTACTCTACTGTTGTTTTGTAAAAAACAAACATATTTTGGTATTTTTTCTTATTATTTCTTTAGAAATAAATAACCTTTATTTAATTTTACTTAAATTGGATAAAATAATAAATCAATTTGTTTAAAATATATATATATATATATTTATTTATTTATTTCGGCTTTTCCATTCTTCATACACTAAATGAAACCAGAGATGGGCAAATGCCACTAAAGTACTGAGTACTGAGTACCAAGTATTTTACTTAAATTGAATCACTATTGGCAATTCAATCACTATTCAGTTAAGCGCTTGACATCAACTGAAGCAGTAATTAAACTCTTTGCTACTCAAAAAAGTAGGATTTTCCAATCTCTGCATGAAACGTAAAACCTTAAATTTTAGATTGTTGCGATCTACACTTAGAAGCTTGTCTTACCACGAAAATGCATTATAAAATGAAAAAGTTCTAATTGCAAAATATTAATATTCAAAATTATAATAAGAAGTGCTAAAATTAACTCCCCGACACATGCAAAGTTCACAGCTTCAAGGAACAATACAAACAAAATTGTTAGTCGGAGTAACAAAATATTCATACTACAGTAAATTGGAAGAGTGCCCAGAATGGGGGTTTATGGCTCCAAGTGGCGCCATAAAAATTAATGAGGGGGCCACTTTTAAACAGGTTTTCAATTTCCGAGGGAGGATCATTTGGACGGGATTATGAATTTTCAAAATGAAAAGTTTCAAATCAAAAGACAAATGGAATCATGGAACAGAACACAAGATGTGTAATGGTTTATAATCTACGAATATTCAAATTATACTTTCGTTTGTACTGTTTTTAAGAAGCTGAGAGGAATTAAATATCTTGGGAGGGATGGGGAAAAGTGTAAATTGTATCTTTGAAGCTCTGTTTCTCAAAATCATAGAAAATGCAGTTAGAACCTTTTCAAACGAAGGCCACGAACTATTCATTTAGAGTTTACAGGTACGGTTATTAAAAGGAACAATATGAATCTTATAAAGTAATCTCATATAATATATCTTAATAATAAACAAAGGATCTATAGAGCTGCGTGCAGATAAATGGAAAGAAATAGCCTAAGACAGGCAGAGATGGAGCAGGCTTGTTAAGGCGGCAAAAGATCTACATGATCTGTAATTCCAATAGAAAATAAATTACACTTACTTAATTACACTCACAATTACTCATTTTTTTAAAATATAAATATTGATTAACCTGTTCTAGTTATCGGGATTAGCGGTGCTGATAGTTGGCGCTATCGTCCTCACCAATGTTATGCAGTTCGGGCAGTTCGTCTCTTCGGGTGTCCTGGGTCCTCCGATCGTCCTCATCGTCCTAGGAGGACTCATCTTCTTCATCGCCTTCCTCGGCTGCTGCGGTGCCATAAAGGAGAACTTCTATATGCTCATTGCTGTGAGTAGTTGATCCAGTTAACTTATGACTTGTATCGTATACTTCTAATACTGTTTATAATTGAACATTTTTTAAAAATAGTTTAAATATGTCAATGAAAAATACACATCTGATTCCACAAGTGTCTTAAAAAAACTCATCGAGTAGGCCAAAGTACCAACATTATTGGCCGAGTTCTTAATAATTAAGCGGAACTTCAAAAGATAAAATAGGCCTTTAAATATTCTTCTTGTAATTAACTGTAAGTATTCTTTCGGGACGCCGCCCGATCTTCATGGACGCTCGCCACATGTCAGAAATTAAAAAACAAAACATGATGTATTAAAACAATTAATTTTAGGCTATCAATAAAGCATCTATATTAGAGAAATATTGAATAAAATAAAATTCAAATATTAAATAATATAAAACAGCTTAATAAATAATTTTTTTTTTCTGACGTAAATACCTGGGGACGCCAAATGTCTATGACCGGGACTGTTCAGTATGACTCTTTCAGTTTGTAACTGTACAGTATGCACTGTTCAGTTTTGCTTTTGTTTATTTATTCATTTCTATTTATTTATTACTATTTTTTCTTCTAAGAATTTCTGTATTATTTTATTCCACTTCATGTTACATTTATTTTATTTTTATTATAGTTTTTTTGCCTTTGTTAAACATATTTTTATTTATTTTTTTTTTTGGTTTAATTATTTTTTTTATTTAATTTACTTATGTGTATTGTATTGTATAAATGGTATGGATTTAGCTAAAATATTTAGGGCCCTTAAGTTTGGCAAAATGTATTATTTCTTAAAAAAAATATTTAAATGTCAACATAAATTTTTTTTTAGTCTCGTAAATGAGCCTTTTTTATTTCATTGGAAGTTTAGAGCGTTTGCCTTGTAATTATTGATGTAACTGCAGACGTTGAACAATTTATTTTCGTTTCAGTCTTGTATAAGTAATCTTGGTAATACATTTGTCCAGATGCTATCCTAGGTAACAGTAATTTGTTATCTACATACAGTAAGTGGAGTATCATTAAAGGAAACTGAAGGACAGGAAATAATAGATCTTCGAAGATTAATGGTGATTTGAAGAAATTACTTTTTATTCTTCAGCTAAACATCGTTCTTAAAATCTTCCTTTCTCGTAAACTTACAAAGCCTTGGCACGGCTGTACTGTTCTTTACTAATAGTATTCTTATTAATATTATACTTATCATTGTCGAACAGATCTATTATCTAGACTTCTAGATAAGAGGCTAATAAATTTATAATATCGTCATGCTATTTCAGAGATGCCCAGCAATTTTATGCCGCCATCAAAACTTTTAAGAGGGACATATTTTGAATTTTTGATAAGGCACATTTCAACGGGGTAATGAATTTTCTGAATGAAAAGTATCAGAATAAGGAGCAAGAGAAAAACATGAAACAGCCCGTAGGAAGTGTAATTATGTATTCTACGCATTCTAAGATATCACTATGGATTTTGAATTGGATGTTGGAGGAATTCGAAAGCTTTGTGGAGCCACAATAGAAGATTTATGTGAATAAAAATAATTTTTGGTTGTTTGTTAAGTAAATGTTAAAGTGGCACAGGGATGCCCACCTCCTCCCCCCTCCCCCTCACCAAGGTCTATTTACACAAACGGAATTGAGTATTGTTGCTCCACAAAGCCTTCAAATACCTCCAACATCCAAATCAGAATCCATAGTAATGTCCTCGAGGTTTCTTACAATGGTATAAATAAAATTATACAAAATGAAGTTAAATGTCCGCTGTCCGTTTACTTAGGAACTATATGTCCGGTACACTGTTAATAAAGTGGGTATCTTTCATAATTAATATAATAAACACCATACCACAAATATCTAGCCTTTCTTCTTAATCAAAACCCGATAATCATCTGCGGCGTTTAACAAGAAATTGTTTCTTCGTATTTATCTGAGTTCACTTAACATAGTATTTTGTCAATTTTTCATAAATAAAACAAACGTTTGAGAAAGCTAAGTATGGTTTCCAGTCCAATTTGTTACAGTTCGCAGTTCTGTTGGCGATAATCTTCGTGATAGAGATTGCCGTTGGTATCGCAGCGAGCATCTCGAAGGACGAGTTCACTGGAGCCATGAGGGACGGGCTCAGAGCCTCGATGACCAACTACACCAAGACGAAGCTGGATCGGCAGACCTGGGACAACCTGCACAGATCTGTGAGTTCTTTACGAAACGGGTTCATATTATTGTGTTCAATAATTTTCCTAAGAAACTATAAGGTGGGTATGTAAAATTGTTGGGTTTAGAAAGCATAGAATAAGCTTTATTTGTGCTGTGCCAACTTGTAAACTTCCATAGATAAGACCGAACCAAAGGTGAGAAACTGTATTAAGATCTGGTGAAGTAGGGTTTGGACTGTGGCAGGTGGAGGAAAGTATTAAGACAAGATTTGGTGGTAACGAAATCGAACCTTAGGATTCACTAAGCCTTTTATGACTATAGGAAAATAAAAGAATGCCTATTATTTTCATACTGTTACTGCTTTCTCACTGCTGATGATCGAAAAGGTATTTGAGTAAGAGGTTGAATAAAAGTTTGGTGCTCAGAATACAAAATTTTACGTTTCAGACATCGATGAACAAATCTATATCTATATGTTTATCAGGAGTCTAATCCATATGTAGAGTTGAATGCATGTTATCAGGCAGCACTGTAGTTTGTAAACAAAGGCTAGGTTGGCTTGGGTGAGGTTACCCAGACAGTAGGAGTCCTTGTAGTTCCTGATAGTGTGATGTTCATGTAGAGGAATAAAAGTGTTTTTGTGTATTTTGTGGTAAATTTTATCAACACAGCCTCATTTTTTTCCTGAAGTGATTTCCTCGCATCACACCATGTAACGAACTTATCATGACTACTGTTCATCCAATCCAGATTTTCATGAAATGTTCAGATATTATGCAGGTTGGTACCTACATGGTTCGATATAGATTTCATCTTATTCCATCCAGAGGTAAATATTTCAGAAACGGATTGTTTGACTTGGCTCACTTACTTACTACTAATCAAAGCTACTGGTCCTCCTGGAAGGGGGTTTAGCGTCGATCCTACTTCTGTACCTTGGAAAAATCTACCAGTTTCGAAACCTACAATTCAAGGGAAAAAATATGCTGTATCAATTATATCGAATCTCATCCACTAGTTCCTCTATCATCCACTTACATACGCGCTAACGTATTTTCCTTTATAAGCTTATATTTCAAAAAACCGCTCTGTCGATTTGACCCAAACTTGGAAGTGAATTAGGGATTAGTCAAAAATCAAAAAATAATCAAGTAGGTATACAATTTTTTTGATTCCGTCAAGTACCTAAAAAATATTTCTGTTTTCGGATATGCACACGTTTGTTATGATAGGCATATTTTTCGAAAACGGCACGTTCGATTTGACTTCTTAGAAATGTTTTGAATGCTTAGAAAGGATAGTCTAGCATCATTTTTATCAAAATTTAAAATTAGTATTGTGAATTATTAAGGGTATAATGTCTGTGAAAATAATATTATTCGATATATCTAAACATTTGAAAAAACGTTTGAGATTTGAGTAAAACGATGCTGTATCGATTTTATATTAATCTTTCATATGCTCAAACATATAGCATACGTATATCAATACCTTGAAATACAGCTGATTATGTAACCAATACCGACGGTTGGTGAAACGGGTTTTCTACATCTTCAAATTTTGATTACTCTTCACTTTTTATCCACTCTGTTTTATGAGTGTGAGCATCGTTGAAAGGTTATGCAAAATTTATATTGTAGATGTCAACTGTTAGTTGTCGAAAACCTCAGTGGATTGCTGTGATGATTATATTCAGGGTAGCAGGAGAACATGCTATTTATATAAACTTATTTATTCAGGATCACATTTATTTATGTAAATTATTGAAATATTTTACTTGTAATAAAATAAGTGTATGAAACATTTTGAAAGACAGTATCCAATCCCTAATCTCTTGGATAATATAAAAAGCAAATGATATTAAAAGCCCTAATCTATAAACAAATATAGATGTTTCCTCGAGGTTTATTGCCTGGATGCGGAAGGTTTAACTAAGTTCGTTAACATTCTAACGTTCAATGCGACGGGGAAGGAGGCACTATTAGTGAATCCCGCGATCAGATTTGAAACGGACGATCAGAATCAGAAATTCAGGGTACCGGTAGAGAATGAGAATACCGACAAGAAATGCATACCTTAGAGGTAAAGTATAGAGATGAATTCGGGGAGAGAGTCTCAGTTAAATGGCTATGGCACTGTTCTTGACACATTAGCTGTTGCAGTGGAATCATCTAACTCTCTTATATAATATTAACTGTTGATTGATTTAATATGCTATGTGGTTTAGCAGCTCAACACAATTTAGCAGCGGTGCAATATTATTGTAGTTCTCTCTTGTAACTAAGATGTTTCTTGATTGCGTTCTCATGACTTTTCTTTCAAAAATGTAGAAAGTTAAATAGTGAAAAACCCTCTTTTTTTCAGGAAACTGTTTAAATAAGCTTTTTCCATTCTTAGGTCCCTGCCTTGATCGGTCACAACTTAAAATGTTCCTATGAAATTCCTATGGCAACAAGCGTTGAAAATAAAAGGACTGAACTGCGAAAAAAACGTAAAATTGCCGAATCTTGACTTATTGTTTTTATGCTTTTCATAGAACATTTTTTTTTTCTCTGAGCTCTTATTATTGTGCCCCAATGTCTCATTCAGATCACTTGGTCTTATATAGTACTTTTAGCAAGTGTCATAGTTTGTATATTGTTGTAGAGTTTACAGCTGCATTTCGGATGACTGGAGTGCTTTCTCCAATATCGCATATTCTTCAAACGCAACCTTCTGTCATATGTTATTTCTCTAGAAACGAAATTGCATTGGGTTTTGAATTAAGGAAGTCGATAAAAATGGTCATTTCTGGTTTCAGGCCTTGAGTAAAATGTAAACAAAAATGGTGAGGAAATGTTCGCAATACACATAACTCATGTATTATTTTTTTAATTAAAAACTTCTTTAGGCGCGTTTTGCACATTTTTTTGTGGAGTGTGAATTAGATTGAGCCGTCAGATTTCCGATATATAACGCTCGGATAAAGTCGACTAATCTAAGTGTTTTTGCAATCGAACCTGCATACTGTAAGCTAGGGAATTGTTCAGAATTTCATCTTATCTGTAATCGGCTATTATTCAAAATTGTATTTAACGCGAGGCCGTGTTTGAGAGGCGAAAAAGAAAAAACTGTCTAAAATAAAATGATAACGAGTTTTATTGAAGATATGTATTAAAATATCTCAGAAACTAAAAATCCGACCTACATACTGCAATCGAGTTAAATTTTCAACGTTTCATCCTCTTTATAATCAGTTATTATTTATAATTTGTATTCCATATTATTAATCTCGCCTTTTGATGTTTTCACTTTTATCGTGTGGTGTAAAGCACACATCTTAGTGTTTATTTAGCCGTCTTAATCTTTGTGACCATAGAATTCGCAAAAGTCATTCTTGTAACTATCTAATCATGCCATAAATATTGTTACAAGGAAATATATACAGATTTCAACAGATAAAGTAATTTTTTCAAAAACTTTATAAGAAAATAATGTATAGGTATGGAGAGTAAAACAAAGCAGAAATTACTCAAAATATCTCCATTTTCCCTTAACACAGACATTCAATCTCCGTGGCAAGTCATCTATAGCAGCACGCAGCATTTGTTGAGGAAAGCGCTTAACTGCTCGGGCCATAAATTGTTTGAGGTTTTCCAAGTTAGGTTGTGTTCTGTGGCATGCCATCCTGTCCAGTTCGGACCAAAACCGATAATCTAGTGGCTTGAGATCAGGGCTTCCTGAGGGCCAATCCGAGGCAGAGATCTTGAATGTTGTTGGATCTGGAGCGGAATCCTGTTGGAAAACTCAATGACTTCCAGCAAACGTAGTATCATTTAGAGGCTTGACAACAAGATCCAAAATATCGTCCTTATAGTTTTTAGCGGCTGTTTAACTCCTTTTTCACAAAAAATGGAGCCTTGTGATGACATAAGAGCAAACTCCCCACCAAACCATCATTAAGGAAGGGTGATGACCTCTTTCCACTCTTCCAATGACTTCCTAGGCTTCTGTAGAGCTGTATGCGTACACACGATCATTTTGGGGATTAAATTTTTCTTCAATTGTAAAAATTTTCTCATCGCTAAACAAAATCATTCGATGAAGACCATTGGTGTAACGGCCAAGGAGCACTTTGCATCTATCCATTCTATTTTTTTTTTAGGGAGGTGGTTCGAGCAGCCACTGCTCTCACTACATTTGCCGTTCTCACAGTGCGGCGACGGCCCGGTCGAGGTCTGTCACATACAGACAGGGTCTCATTATATCTATTTATAGTGCGGTACGAACATACGGCTGATACCAAAAGGTTTCAAAGTGTTGAAAATGTCGGACCTACATTTTCCAACTTTGTGTAAGGTGATTAGAACTATTCGGTTTTCTTTATCACTCCACTCTACGTTAATTGAGCGAAAGAAAAATACAAACTAATTGGGATTATTATCCTGACATATAAAGAAAATAACATAATATAGGAAAGGATTATCTAAATAATCCCCAAGGATGTAAACGAAGTTCAACTTTTGTAACAATATTTATGACTGCGTTAGCTATGAAATATGGAACGTCTCTTGGAGTATCTTTCTGAACGCACGAAAAAACAGAAAAAGGTTTTTGAAATTTCTTAGACTCTCATTGATAAATGCGTGGAGTTGAATGCTCTGGTTCAAGTATTACTATGCAGAACCTGTTTGACTGGGATGACCCGTAGTAGCATCGGCTAATATTTAAACAAACGGGGTCAAGCAAGTTGCGTGCCGAGGATCATGAACTGCCATTATAAATTTCCATATCTGTTCATCATTTCCACAACCCCGGCTCTATCTATTCTAATCGGCAGCATTAACTCTAAATGTGTTTCGCTAATACATCTAGTCTTCAGTCAATAATTTTTTTTTTTTTTTACTTCTAATAATAATAAATATCATTATGTAAATAGAAAAAGAAAAACAGTTCAGTCTCCTTTCCTCCTTTGTTATTATTTTTGTTTTGTAGTTATAGACGAGTTTTAGTGTTATCAATAAAAAGAAGTTGGAAACAACGCATCTAAATAGAAATAAATATGATAGTTTGTTCCAAACCGCTAATCTCGGAAAATTCCTCACCTGTTCCATTGAAAATTTGACACAAC